TATCTAATCAATCGCAATTTCGCGGACCTTTCCAACAAGCCGAAAATTCTCTCCGGGCGCTCTCCGGGATGCGATTGATAAAACATAATGAAACGCTTTTTAATACGTCCAGTGTTGGATTCAAATCGTAATATAAGCCTTCATTATATTTGATAACTTCAGTTTGTTCTATAAATAATATATTACACTAAGCTACTGTGTACCATTTCCAACAAAAGTTATATCTAAATACGATAAATTAAAGTCCAGGCTTTTTGATATAATTGACAGCTGCTTTTTCAATAAAAATGGAACTCGTAAATATACTTACCTTGTCATTGGTCATTTGCAAAATTATTTTGTTAAAAAACATTCTGATTGTACACACAAGTACTCTGAAGTTGACATTAAAAAGATGCTTGAGTTTCTGATTGACAATATCTATGTGGTTTTGGGAGACCAGGTCTTCCAACAACCTACTGGAATTCCCATGGGTACCAATTGCGCCTCGTTATTAGCAAACCTTTTTTGGTATTCATATGAAGCAGAATTTGTCCAAAATCTTGTACATGAAAAGAAGAAAACACTTGTTGTGGCCTTCAACTCGACATTTAGATATATCGACGATGTATTGTCAATTAACAATGGCTATTTTCATTCTTATGTCGATACGATATATCCTGGTGAGCTTGAGATAAAAGATACCACAGAGTCCGACACATCTGTTTCATATTTGGATATTTTACTTGAAAAAGACGTTAATGGTAATCTAACAACCAAGCTTTATGATAAACGTGATGACTTTAACTTTTCAATCGTCAATTTCCCTTACTTATGCAGCAATATACCTTCATCACCTGCATACGGGGTATATATCTCTCAGTTGATTCGATACGCAAGAGCATGCTCTACGTATGAACAATTTCTTAAACGAGGTAAATTGTTGACAAACAAGTTGATGAAACAAGAATATCAGCTGTCTCGTTTAAAGTCATCATTTCGTAAGTTCTATGGTCGATACAATGTACTTGTCAGCAAATACAATTTATCATTGAGTCAAATGCTGACTGACGTTTTTCATACTAATTGTTAGGCCATTATTTACACACTGAATTGTCGACGGATTTTTCCGTTATTTCCCGATCATGACAAGGAGCACACGGCGGGTGTGACCGGTCGGCAGGGGATGCTCACTCCTCCATGGCACCTGATCCCACCTCTGATGTTTAGAGGTCCGTGTTTGCTCTGCTCCTATTTTGTATTGTTTAATGGACTTTTGAGCTTGAATACTGTTCGTTATCTCCATATATTTTATCGACTATTCAAATTGTAAAAAACTTTCATTATTTGTGATAAGTTGTGCCTTAAGGGGAAGAAGGACCTTTAGCTGAAAAAATACTTGTCATTCAATTTTTTTCATATTTTGTACATTTCTTATTAAGTATGTCCCACATACCTTAAAGCAGTTATATCATTAGGTTTCTTACCTTATTTTAGAGATATTGATTGACAAATATTATGCCCTACAGTTTCTAAGTGGAGTTTTAATTCTCCATGTTTCCGGGCTCATTACTCTGTCCATAATTGGATTTTTAAAGCATATATAAAAAATATGTAAGTGAACATGTATCTTTTAAAATATTTCAGAGTATGAATTGGGTTTAAAATTCGAAAAGGCAAGTTTCATCTATCACACTGCATCTGGATAGGGAAAATTACGAACTTTTTAAGACAACTTAAACAACAAAAAACGTAATTCACAACAAATCCTATCATTCAATATTTTTAAATTTACGTTAAAATGCAAGTCCCTCAAATTATTGATTAACTGTAAAAATTTGGAATGGTGAAGCTGACCTCAATATTGCACAGAACATCGTTAAAGACGACATAAGCAGGACAAAAACTTGTCATGTTTACATTTCTCGAGTACGGGAAAAACCAACTGTGACGTCACACGTAAGCTAAATAAGCGAAATAAGATATACCTACATAAGATTTCCGTCATCAGCCATGCAAAAATAATTTTTGTGTTCCCCGTTTCTCAAAATACTTCATCATATACTGATTATGACCTGTTTTTACATAATAATACCGCCCTTGTATTCACCGAGTATGATCTTGCTGTACTAGCAGATCGTGTATGATGTCACCGACTTGTAAAGAAACAGAGGAGTGGATCAATCTTTTTCATAATTTGTTAATGTTAACAAGAATGTTAAACTTTTTATTTTTTTTAATATAAGATGGTAATTAAAGAAAAAAAATTGTCAAATTTTTTTTACAAGAACTGATGCTTTACACGTTTTGCACTTATATAAATGGAGATATGACGTAGTTTAACAAAGTCATGTGACCATGTGTCCTTCATCTCCTTAAATAATATAACAATAAAATACCAATTCCAACAAAAGTTATACTAGTAGGTAGATAATGATGTACAGAAATTTCTTTTTCATTGTGACGTCATAATCAAATGTGCATAAGAAAGTCGCCCAAACCATATAAATTGCGGACCCAGTTTTAATGACGTCAGCAAACCCGCGACCTACGTTATTGTACCATAGAACTGGCGGTAGATTTTGCTTTGATGTTGCTGTTGTGTAGGCTATTTGCCAGAAAAATCACAGTTTTTTAAGTCACGCCCACTTTTTGGCATCATGCCATACTGTGACAAGACCTTGACTGATGAATGAATGATGCTTGGCAATGGCTGATGAATGAATGAAGTCAACATTTTAAATTTTAAAAATACTAAAAATTCGCCTCGTAATTTTTTCCTTAATTTTTCTATGCGTTCCCTGACACATTCTTCTCGAATTCTCGTCTTTCTATTTTCTAAGTACATGTAGCAATTTAACACTGATCAGAAGTCCCTGCGTTTTTTTTACTTCATAAAGCATTTCAAACTTTCATTATAATGTCAGAAATCATTTCATGGTGTCTATCAGGGACCTATATACTAGACAGTATATATGTCCCTGTTTCTATACGTCGATTGCTATATATGAAAATTTCAACGGCGTCAGTATATTATATGTAGTTTACAATCCTTACACCTGTACCTGACCAAAAAAAAATCATGTCCTCTGTGTCTTCAACATTTCGAAAGTACAACATCATCACATGCACCCATTCCGAATTTTTTATCAGTGATTTGCAGCAGCAGAACCGTAGCAAAATATGATCCTTGCAGATGGAGACAGCTATTTATACTACAGACTCCGGACCGTGGCTTGACACCATGTAGTAGGCGGTGCTTATTATCAACTTGATTTTCTCTCATTGGTCCTCTGGTACAAGTAACTTACACAATAGATATTAATTGGCTATTGGTAAATACACTCACAGTTTTTATTCACTCGGGGCTCCGCCCCTCGTGAATGAAAAACTGTGAGTGTATTTACCGATAGCCAATTAATATCTGTAGTGTAACTATAACATAGCTACCCATTTTATAAGGTATAAAGTGGGTTGGGGCAGTTAGTTTACGCTTTATAAACCGCGAAGCGGTTTGTAAAATCCACCTGTGACGTCACTCCTTTGTTTGAGCGCTCCATTATTTTTCAGGAATGGAGAGTTGCAAATAACATTGAAAAGGGAATTTGTTATGTTCTTTTTCTCCTTCCCTTGCCTCTTCCGAGGAAAGAACTTAGAAAATTTTATCAGGTTTATTTTCACATTAAGAAAAAAATAGATATGTTCTAATGTCGAGAATCGAACCTCATCTTCGTAATCGGCAACTCATTTCACTGTGCTATCGAAGCAGTTGGCTGTCACTGGGTTAGAATAACTTCAGTACACTTTTTTCGCCCTACTTTCTCTCTATATATAAATTAACTACTAATATCTAATGTATATTTACAGTGTATCATATAAATATTCTTTATTATATATTAACAAAAATAAATACAAGCATTTTAAAAAGGTGAATTTTACGCGGGTTAATATACTCGTGGCGCTCCATTCCTTAAAAGCAATGGGCCTCGGCCCCTTCGGGGCCTCGGCTCCATTACTTTTAAGGAATGGAGCGCTACTCGTACATTAACCCTTACATAAAAAAGCGTAAACTGTTCCAACCCACTTTATACAGTATAAAATGGGTAGCTATTAAATTCATTCCTTATAATTTAATTTTCATTCATTTAGTTTAAGAAAAAAGATGGTTGCCCCTAAAAAATGACTTCAAATTGTACAGAATTCAAATGTAACGTCAGGCGGATCGATACGTTTTTGACGCAAGTCATTGTGACGTAGGCAACCCAATTTATACGATATAAAGTAAATTTTTTTATCCAATCAAATACCGCGTTATAACTAGAATTAAATTATTAGGGAATTGACCGAATAAAACTTTGGTTTATTAGGTTACCTTTATTAGGTCAATCCAAGGGGTAGTTGCAGGATAAAATAAATACACATTTATAATATGTGTTTATTTATATTAGTTTATTTACATTCCACATGTATTTTGCTTATAAATTGTAAGGAAAGCTACGGCATTTAAAAACACCATAACACGGACAGGGCATAACAAAAGAACGTAAAACAATATCATTTTAACGATAGAGTGTTCTATACATCTAATGTCAAGTAAATTAAATGCTTGGTAGTGCCTCCCCCCAAAAATGTTTGGTTCCCTTAAATTGCTTCCTACCGGCCTGATTTATTCATTATAGTTTTTTTAAAAATAAAATAAAATAAAATAAAAAAAAAAAAAAAAAAAAAAAAAAAAAAAAAAAAAAACATCCTTTAGAAGTGTTTTATCAGTTTGTAGATAGTCACGAAAATTATTTGTGTACAATTTTTATCATGCTCAGATATGTACAGATTAGTCTTGATGAGTCACCTGTAGGCTTGTGATCCTTACATACCCTTAATATATAGTCATGATTTATCTGGAAATTTAAAGGTTGTAAGTTTCTATATTCAAAATGATTACATGTCGTCACGCGCTAACTGTAAAGAATAAATACACACTGGAGTTGTCGTTCCTTAATGTTTTTTTCCGATCCCGATAGAAATGGCTTCTAAATTTTGGAGTCGATTTTGGGGGAAAGAGAGTGAGAATGTTTCCACGGAACAAGCGATTCAAAAATTACGTGATCTGGAGGATTTGTTAAATAAAAAATCAGTTTATCTAGAAGAAAATATTCAACAAGAAACTGAAAAGGCGAGGAGCGCAGGATTTAAAAACAAACGAGGTACGACAATTTCACGATAACAAATTTAATTTTAAAACTGTTTGTAGGGGGAAAAGTAAAACACTGGAGTTTATTTTCTTTATTCATCAGAATTATTCGAAATATATTCTCTAGTATTATTCATATTTTTGAAAGGAAAACATATTAACTACATATGTTTAGAATAATTTTGATTGCACATTGCAAATAAAGTGTAATTCCATTTCTTTTCTCTGCAAAAAACTGCTTCTCTTTTTCAAAATGAGAAAACAAAGCTGCCTCCTGTGATATTAGTTTTACTCTTTGATCAACAGTTGCCTTAAAAGCCTTGAAGAAAAAGAAAAACTTTGAAAAACAGCTGACCGAGGTTGATAATACTCTGTCAACCATTGAACTACAGAGGGAAGATTTAGAAAATGTGGGTACCACGAGCACCGTCCTTCAAGTCATGAAAACCGCCAAGGAAGCTCTACAGAAGGCTAATCTAAAATTGTACGTTATGATATTTAGATTTTGTCATGATATGTTATATGATGCAGAATAATGTTTTATGAGTTAACTGATATATAGCTCGCATTAAGAAAGCTCTAAATAGTAAATACTAATGTGATTTTTTTAGGACTTTCAGATAATTGTATCAAATAAGGGGTGGGTTTATCTAGTTTTCAACATAGGGTACCTGCCATAAACGTGGGAAGACAATGGAGTAGTAATTAACAGAGAACACTGAGCTACTAACATTCATTTGGGAAAATACATGCAAATATTGTATTCTGTTATTCTTTCTGGTCTATTATGATGTTAAAAAAGCTGAATCTATTTCAAACTGTGTAGTTTACTGACAGATTTTTTTCTGTTTATTCCAATGTACATCAAAAGGTAAGTCACTTTTACTGCATAAAACTACCATGGAATCAAAACTCTTTAGTGAGGAGTGTTGAGAGCTTTCTTAAAGCAGTTATCAGTTTGGAACATTCTACGGAAAATCATACTCTCGATATTATTATTATTCTTTTAAGGTTATCTGGAAATTGAATTTAGTCTCAAATGAAAATCTATGTGCATTTTTTTAACTAAAAGTATTTGAAGTTTATAATTCACTTTGTGTGTCTGAACAATTTGTTCCAGAGATGTAGATAAAATACAAAACTTAATGGAGGATATAGAGGAACAGAGGGAACTGGCACGAGAGGCTCAAGAAGCCCTAAGCATGCGTATTGGTCCAGATGATGACGTAAGTTTTTAAACAAGTCTCCGAGAAAAATATGATACGATTTTTTTATGCAGCGATTTCAACAGAATGTGAAATGCACTTTTAGGATGAACTGGAGGAAGAATTGCGTCAGATGATGGAAGAAGAAGAAGTTGATGATCTTACAAAAGAGTTGATGAAGTTAGGACCGGTTCCTGTTAAGTCTGTAGATGATCCCTTTCTGCCAGATGAAGGATCAAAAGGTAAGGTGTATTGTAAAGCAGACAAATTTTCTTGTTTGTTTGAAATCTGAAGAGGAAAAATTAGATACTGGTATGTTAACAGCCAAGTATAATTGATGACAATATCAAAAAGAAATCATATTTCTGAAAAATAGTTTCATTCTTTTTCTGCACTTAAAAAAAATTGAAAATATTATATACATGTGTATGCTGATTTTATTCCTTTTTCGATTAGTCCACAGGAAAAAAAGTAAGGGGGAAGAAGACGATGGTCTTCGAGAACTTGCTGCGTGGGCTAATTAAGAAATCGACGACTTTGTATATTGTCAGCGAAGAAAAAACTTACATTACACTTCTTGTATACCAGTATAGTATTGAGTGCTACTGAGATTCGATTGTGACTCTTAAATACAAGTCTTTTGAGAAGAAAAAACATGGTATTGCAAAATAATTGCGAAACTGATATATATAATTTATTTTCAATTATGTACCTGAAGTGCACGTGTTAGAAATTCTACTACTGACAACGTTGTAAATATACTGACATATTTGTGTTTTAAATTTTGTTGAAGACTTAAACGAGGCAGCTATGTAAGCTCAAATTAAGGTGATGACTTTCTCATTGATCAGCAATTTACTATATGTAACAAAAAAAATTATCATTACAAATCATCACTGTAATCTCACCGTCATAATAAAATTTGCTTTCATGTGGATGTGTGGAAACAAACCAAGGTACAACAGATTAAAAAAAACACTACAGTTTTGTGCACAGTAACGTATGTAGTATACACGTGAAGTTTATTACCAAAAATTAATATTATTAGACATACACTATGAAGAAATTGCCATTACTGAGACCACTTAGAGGAGAGCATTGACAAAAGTAAAATTCATTAGGTGGTTATCGTCAGCCAGTTAGAAAAGACAGGAAGAGATATGGTGGAGGATTTCCATTAGACTAGGCTTTGTTGTCAGCTAGATGATCTAATTTTTTCTGATATTGAAATCTTATGGGTAAAGATCCATCCACAAAATCAAAAGTTTTTAATTGGAGTTTTATATGGACCTCCTATCTCTGTGTCTGACATCTCTGATAAGTTAATAAGTACTATAAGAGTACTAATAAGAGCTATAGATACAGAGATGAGTTAGTTTGTCAGGTGATTTTTTTAATGTAAACATGTTGGCCAACGAAAAAAAATATTCAAACACCTATTACAACTTAATATAAGCAATGCTGTTCAATCATACAAGAGCTTACCAACTTTACAACAGATATTGGAACTTGTATAGACCTATACTAACAAATGATCTTTAAAAAGTTGAGAGTGTTGTATACATGTAGTTATAATGAACCATTCAATTATATATGTACTTCTCACTCAGTTGTCTCTGTAGAAATTCCATCTCAAAGCCTTTAAGCGCACAGTTAGGAATTATAATAATATAAATTATCAAGGTATGAATGAAGACCTACAAAATATCAATAGGGATGAATAAGTATTTTCCACCAATAAAATGAATGAAGTATATCAAAATTGTGCATCCACTTACCCACACCAGATTGAGAAACACATACCAACTAGGCAAATTACTTCATTCAGATAAACCATATATTGGTACTACCGTGCAAATTCGTAGGAAACTGTGACAAAGAAAACGAATACATAAAAAGGCAAAGCATACTAAAAATTCATTACATTGGCAAAAAATTAGCCAACATCATAATGACGTAATAGATTTAGTATGGAAGAGTAGAAAAGAATCGTAACAAAATCAAACTTGTTTCTCAACTTAATAATGAAATGTATGGAGATAACGAACAGTACTCAAGCTCAAAAGTCCATTAAATAATATAAATTTTAAAGCAGAGCAAATTTCAATTTTTCAATTTATTCACTCAAAAACCATGTAAATGGTTACATGAGGTACATAAACATATAAAACATATATACATATAATACAGTGGGTCAAGCAAAAGGTGAGATTAATTAAGCTAGCTAGGGAGAACAGACCATACTATTAATCTTAGTAATAAATGTACATAATTTTTTCAAAGAATCAACATCATTTTGGCACATAACTTCACAAAACTTCATAGTGTTTGGCTTAGAACAAAATTTTGGGTTCAAAAAAATTTTCCTCGCTTGGTTTAAAGCACTACATTCTAAAATATAATGATATTCATCACCTACATGTATCTGATTACTATCACATAAGCTACAGAATCTTTCACTTCTTTGAGTACCATTCCATCTACCTGTTTCAATTGGAAGGTGGTGGTTTGTGGTTCTAAATTTAACTAAAGTTTTTCTAAATTTACATGATAACAGTGTTAAATATTTTTCGCACTCAAAATTGGTTTTAAAAAATCTATAATTTAAACTTTTTGAAGATTCTTGAACTTCACTATTCCACTTTTGAATATATTGATCTTTTAATCTTTGTTTGACTGTAGCAGTTATCCATTCTACATTATAGAAATATTGCTCATACCATATATTTGATAAACCACATCTGTCAAAAATATTTTGTACAAATGAAATCCAGGAGTTTATCATTTCTCCTTTATCATATTGTTTACGTAAATACATAAGTATATACAATTCTGCACAATTTGTTTTCTTTCCCATACACAATATGGTCTCCAAAAACCACATAGATATTGTTAATCAGAAACTCGAGCATCTTTTTAATGTCAACTTCAGAGTACTTGTGTGTACAATCAGAATGTTTTTTTAACAAAATAATTTTGCAAATAACCAATGACAAGATAAGTAAATTTACGAGTTCCATTTTTATTGAAAAAGCAGCTGCCAATGATATCAGAAAGCTTGGACTTTAATCTATCGTGGCGAATGGTTGTGTATAAAGTTGAAAAGTCGTAAGTTTTTAAGCTGTTGATTTTGCTAAAATCTTGTGATTTCAAATTTTCCAGAGGTTCCTTGGAATGTTTAAGTATTCATATCTGATTTACACCACTTCTCGAATATATTGTTGCACAGTGCTCTTGAAGTTTCTCCTTCACTACTGCTAATATCTTAGTGAGGAGTAAAGAAAGAGGTTTGGTAGACCTTTACCCGCTGTATATCTTTGTAAGGATTTTTATAAAGTTTCGGAATCCAATATAGATATGGTAATTCAAATTCATTTTGGTTGTTGAGAATATTAAGTCTTTGCACCAGGAGAGTATGGGCGTAATTAATGCAAAATCTGTTGCAAGATTAAAGAAACAAAATTCTCCTGCGCCTTAAATCACACGATGTAGATTAGTCCAATTGATAATGCTGAGGAGCTTAATAATTTTTTCTCAAGTATATCACATAATGAAAACGATATTTATAAGAAATATATGGAGATCGGCCATACTCCATACAGTGTAAATTCTCGAGTCTGTTTTTTCAACGATTAATGAAACGAAGTTGTAGCGTGACCTAATACTGAGATGTCTGGAGTACAAATGAAATATGGTGAAATCAAGCTCACAAGTCCATTGGAACAAATTGGAAACAGAGCAATCACGGACCTCTAAAAACATCAGAGTTGGGATCAGGTGCCACGGAGGAGTAAGCATTCCCTGTCTACCGTTACACCCGCCGTGTGCTTCTTGTCATGATCGGGCAAACGGAAAAATCTGTAGACAGTTAAGTGTGAAAACCATATCCTAACAATTTGTTTGAAAAACGTCAGTCAGTACTAGGCGTTATCAAAAGTTCGTGCATGTTCTAAAATATCTGGTAATACTTTGTAGGTTATGCTTACAAAATTTATAAGGAATATAAATAAAAAGTGTTGAAAATTCTAGCTTGATACATTGGTAGTTTTCCAATTTATCATTAAATACAAAATATATTATATGGTCACCCGCCGCTGTCGTCATTGAGTTTCATGGCGTTCGACAGTGTCATTGTTTCTCAATGTCCGCTCCCTCTGTCTCGGTACACTTTCCTTCACGAGATACGTTGGTGTTAAAAAAGACTGAAAAACGTCATTGATTATAATATGCTTTTAAAATTTCATGAACAACTGATATCAAAACACATTTTAAATGAATCAATACAAAAGACAATTAAAGATCCTCGCTTGACTTTCCCAGTTTAATCAACTAGTCGGAGTTCATTTCTACCGCACACATGCAAGCAACGACCGACTTTGGACTCATTGGCATTAACTTAGTCTATGTGATTTTTCTTAAGTGAAATTATAAATTGCAGCAATAAGACGAGTTTCCTCCGGCGTCATTTTTACCATTGTTTTATTTTAACTCTCTCTCTCTCTCTCTCTCTCTCTCTCTCTCTCTCTCTCTCTCTCTCTCTCTCATTAACGATGAGATATCACAAAATGAGGGTAAAATTGTAATATTTTTAAATAATTGTGGCACATCACACGTGATTGAATGTTAAAATTATAAACGACAAATACTCGTATCTAAGTATTTTCCTCATTAACCTAGATAGAAATAGGCTGTATTTTGAGGTTGCGTCGCATGGTTATACCATTGCTTACGAAAAACTGACAATTTATTGAGATAAATGCTATGGATTACAGTCAGAAAAGATGTTGAATAAATGTGTAAAAATTCATTGATGTACCTTAAGCAGTTTTGATTTTATGGCTTCAATCCACGAACTTATTGATATCCCTCGTATTCGCTGATAATGTCATTGTATCGACCATAGAATTTGCGAAATGTTGACTTTGTATGGGACTGTTGATGCCCTTGTATCATCAACTTATTTGTCAATAGCTTGTCTCGTTTTAGAAATCGTTCGTACGTAGAGCATGCTCTTGCGTATCGAATCAACTTGGAGACAGAAACTCCAAATGCAGGTGATAATGGTATAAATAAATACTACATAAATAAGGGAAGTTGACGATAGAAAAGTTGAAGTCACCACGTTTATCATAAAGCTTTGCTGTTATGTTGCCATTAACGTCTTTTTCTAGTAAAATATCCAAATATGAAACAGATGTTTCAGACTCTATGATGTCTTTTATTTCGAGTTCAGAAAGATATATCGAAACAATATACATGTAGGAATGAAAATAAATATTGTTAATTGATCAAACATCGTCGATATTTCTAAATGTCGATTGGAAGGTCACAGCTAAAGAATTCTTTTAGAAATGCAGTCTGACTAAAGCCAACCCCTACTATATTTCACTTCGTTGAACAACGAAGTGAAATAGTAGGGGCTGGCTTTAGGAAGACTGTGTAGAAATGTTTTCTTAAGTTCTGCTTCATTTAAATACAAAAATTGTTCTGCTACTAAAGGGGCGTAATTAGTACCCAGCGCAATTAATTCCGACAGATTGTTGATCTCCGAAAACTACATAAATATTATATAGTTTGTTATATAAATAAATACAAAAATAAATCAGAAACTCCAGCATCTTTTTAATATCAACTTTGGAGTACTTGTGTCTACAATCAGCATATTTCTAACAAAATAACTTTGCAAATGACCAGTGAAAAGGGTAGTAAATTTACGAGTTCAAGGTTTTTAAAGAAAAAGCAACCGTCTATGATATCAAAAAGCAGCCGTCTATGATATCAAAAAGCAGCCGTCTATGATATCAAAAAGCCTGACGAGAAGTTGATGGGTTCTTTTGAGCTTCATTGCATTAATGTAGAGAAATGTGAAAGAGCTAGGGGCGCCTTTTTCAAGAACATTAGATATATTTGTCATTTTCTTGCAGATTGCTTCCTCATCTTTCGAGATTGTGGTTGTATAAAAACTTGCTCAAATAAAGAGTAGTTTTACAACGACTTCTATTCCCGTTTTATTACTTTTTTTGACCTTTTAATATATAACCTATCGAGCAAACACTGGCATTTGACGCTTTAAACCATTCTCTTCATTGATAATCACCATACTATTATTAATGTATGGTGACATTTTTAGCACTGAAGAGAAAGGTTTTAAACATTAAGTGCCTGTGAGAGTAAAAACCATAATGGCCTTCATATTTTGAAAGCCATAAGTTGTTATTGTTGCTTAGATTCACAAGTTGAATTTAAAAAAAAAAATTGTACTACATATGGCAACAGAGACAGCGCCAAGATTCCATGTATTCCCATACCGTGATTGACTATGAAGGTAAATAAAATTTACAGATATATAGGTATACATACTGTATCATGATCTCCATGCGCGGATCTAGAGGGGGTGTCGGGGGGAGGGTGGTGGCTCTGAACACCATCCCACCCACCCCCCTGGAATTTGCAGAGCTATTAAAAGTATATACTGAAGCAAATTAAAAATTACTTTGGACCCCCCCCCCCCCGCGCGCTTGATTGAATTTCTTTACTTTGACATTCAGAGCACTGCATGGGCAGAAATCACATTGTTAAGATTTTCTGTTTTTTAAAAATACATAGACTACTAAAATAAGGAAGCAGGCTTAAAAAATAATTTGCCATTAGAAAATTAGCCCCTGGTTAGGTTTATGAATAGCATCTGATGAAATTTGGAATAACTTTTTAGGCATGCAAAAGAAATAAGTACCGCGATACAGTATTATCAGATGCCGTATACTTCAGAGGTGCTTGAGCCATGAGGACAGGAGCTACCTCCCTCTCCCACCCCCGGGGTATAGACCCTGGGCTTTTTTTTTTTTTTTAAATAAAATGTTTGTTCTAAACAGGTGATTTTTCGGATTGATGGTATGCATTATGGATTGTGAATTTGTCATAAAAAGATTATTTATGAAAAAAATGAAAAGTACGTCTACGGTCTATACCGAAAAGGGGTGGGGGTAGTTCCTGTCCTCAAGCACTTGTGGCACTTGAAATTTCCAAAACCTATATAGATGGTTCCTTTTGGACCTCAAATCCACATTTAGGTAATAATTAAAAAAAAAAGGAGGCTCAGGAAAAAAATATACTGTTTAGTTGATTTCGGCCTAAGAAATGAATACATTTGATTGTTGACATAAAATGGTGAGATTATGATATATATATATATATATATATATATATATATATATATATATATATATATATATATATATATATATATATATATATATATATATATATATATATATTTATATATATATATATATAATTTCATATATATATATATATATATATATATATATAATATATATATATATAAGATCATCGAATAAAATAATTAGATTCGAAAGTAGTGTGACGCAAGGCGAACTCGTCAACACAATTTTTATTGGGAACGTGGTTTTTATTGTGAAAATTATATATATAATACTCCATCCTGAATCACACACTGTACCACAAACAATAATCCACTGAACTAGTAAATCACAAGATATAAATCCCAATGTATCAATTTGATAAAGCAATTCTTATATTAATATATAAACCTTTACTTTTCTTTAGGAAATAAAACCAATTCTATTCTACCATTTATTTACAGTTTAAAGAAAATAAAGAAACATGAAAATAATGAGATTAATTCACCCAACTTCTCTTATTCACCTAACTTACCTAATAACTTCCCAAGTTATATGTAATTACCAATGAATATTTTATTTTTAATTCAATTCCCTAATTTACCAATCACCGAAGCTACACTTTGGTAAATATTTCGTTGTTTACCAAAATTAACCAAGTCACCAATACACAACACCTTGGTAAATATTTCGGTGTAAAATTGGTGCTGGTGTTAATTCCCAGAAATAAGAGAAGTAATAGTCGTTTAATAATTTAGGCTATCACAAATAATTTCTCCAAAAGCCCTTGGTGTGCAATAATTTTACCAAGGATTTCGGTGAATCATCAGGTGCCACTTGGTAAATCCTAACCAAACTATAATAAATGTTTAATTACCAAATCCTCTCTAGCCCGTCTTAATTGTGCCTCCGACATCTTCAAAATAATCAACAAGTCTACAGAGCAATTAACCAATTGAACCCTATTTATACTGGTCATCCCCTCAATGACAGTTATATACTGCGGAATAATAGAGATGCTGGCTACCAAACTCCCCCTACCAGACGGCACCTCACTGTGAATAACTAGAAGTTGGGAAGCGATACAAATTAACAAACAAACATTAAGCAATGTATTTACATAGCAATTCACTACTGTAAAATTATATCATTAAACAGTTATCAGGAAATATAAAGTTACAAAACTTACCCGGCTATAATGTTATAATTTGTAACAGTAGTCTTCATGCTTTTGGTAAACAAAGTTATCAAGCATTACTGTCCTAGACTATATCTAAAATGCACATTAACTGTTAATGTACATTTTAGATATAGTCTTAAACTTTCAATATTGAACTTGATTAAGAAAACAATAAACAAACCTTGTTATAACAAACCTAACATGAGTCGAATCATCTCACGACACAGTTAGCTTCAACTACAAACCGGAAGTTTTTGCCACGCGAAAGGGTGAAGGCCAACTCCAGTTCCACCTGTTGTAGTACACAGACTCCACTGTACGTACAGTTTACATATGCTGAAGTAGTAATTGGAGATAGACAAGGAACTTATGATGACATAAAATGGTATTTAAGGAAACTATGTCGCGGTCGCGTTCCTTTTCATAGTCTTTACGTGGCGTGGACTTCCTCAGTGATGGAGGGAGTGCTGCTGAAATGGACCAATTACTTGACAGGTAATTTTCCTTTAGGATAAACAATAAAACATTTCGAATGATCCGTTGATAAAATAGAAGATGTCGTTTTATATGGGGATTTCTATAAACTAGAAAGATGCTTTTGTGTGTAGACAATCGAGTAACAAGTTAAAAAACACTGTCAGCTGTGTGTCAGACCACAGGTGCTTGAACACAGGACCCTCCCCCAACACCAACTCCGTATAAACCCCAGTCCAATTAGTTTTAGACTTTTTAAAATGAATTATCTTTTAAGGACATTTTTATGAATTAATCCACATCTTCAGTTTGAAAGTCACCTATAAGTAAAACATAAAAATTTCTACCCCAGCACCTGTGTATCAGACATGCATCATTAGAGACGAGTCCTAAATGTTTATTTTTCTGCTCTGTTTAAGGTTGGCAGCCTCGCTGGTTTGTTCTCGACAATGGAATTCTTTCTTACTATAAATCACAGGAGGAAGTGAACCATGGATGCAAGGGGTCCATTAGAATGGCTGTCTGTGATATCAATGGTAGGTATACGAATGATGTCTGTGATATCAATGGTAGGTATACGAATGATGTCTGTGATATCAATGGTAGGTATAACAATGGATGTTGGTATACGTATACCAGAGACTCAGAAGACTCAAATAAAAATACCATCTGAGTCGTTCGGTAAATCTCATTTAGTACAGAAACAGATAAAGTACAGCTACAGATACAGTGAAGATTTTTTGGGATCCCAGCAAAATTCCTAACAATTTCTTGTATTATTTTATGGTTATAAACAACTCTGATTAGCAAAATTAGTCATAGCAAACTGATTTCATGTCCTCTAGAGGTTTAAAATAATGAAATTTACATCTTTTATAACAAATTTTGAAAGATTTTATTCAAAATATTAAACTGCATAATTTTTCATAAGTACTAATATTTGAAATTCAGTTCAATAGAATTTTTTAGTAATCTAAGGTAAATTTGCATACTCTCCTGAACATATTTGGTATTCATACTTTAAGAAAAACATATTGCAACATTGTTATATATTCTTTATTGAATTCTTCAAACAAATATAACAAATTATGGATATAGTGAAGTAAATTCACACATCCAGAAGACTTCATGATATAAACTGAGTTTTACTGAATTGTTTACATAAATTGATAGAATTTTACTACTTGAAGATGTTTTGTTATTGTAAGCATTATTCGCATTTTCTGTTTTATTCCTAGTCCACTCAACAGACAAATGTCGGCTAGATTTGATTATTCCTGGAGAGTCACACTTTTATCTGCGGGCGTCAAATCCTCAAGAGAGACAGCAGTGGCTTGTGTCGTTAGGAACTGCCAAAGCTTCCCTCACCAATGGAAGAATCAAAGACAGTGCAGGTTACACATCATTCAAATCAGATTTAATATAAAAGAAAAGTGCATATACGAAGAAATAGATTTTGCAGCAACTGCACAATAAAAGTTCTCAAATATATTTTTTCTAACACTCATATATGTTTGTTTACTCATATACATGTATGTTATTGTTACCCAATTTCTTTATCTGTTATCAGTTTCTTTTTTATGCACTTTATTTACATGTAGCACTTTGATATGTTTCATTACTGCACTTGTCCTTGTCTTTTGTTACTTGCAGTAACATGACCGATTTCAGTGAGCAACAAAAATTATAAACTTCATCATATTCATGTAGATCTCTGTATGAATAACCAAAATATATAAACAAGTATAAATGTGGAAAATTTCCTACCTTGTAGAGAAAACATTGCATCTTTTTCTGGAAATAATAGGAAAAATAGGGGGAAAAGGCAAAGAAACTCTTATCATTTGATAAGTAGTAGTTTTATGGCTCAATAAGATTTAACTGGATTAATACAGATGTTAAATGTATGAACATGATTTTAATTATGCATCATATTATGATCCATGTTTCCAAAAAGGGGAAAGCATATTAATATTTTTGGTATGCACTTGTCTAACAGGTACAAGAAGTTATTTACCTATTAAAAACAATAGAAAGTGTAACTATGAATTTAGTAAATACATGTACATTTGAGAGATATAAACTGTGATTATATTTTATAATATCTAAGTTTAACGTCTGCATATAAGGCCAATTAGAATTAAGATTAGATGAAATTAAATTTTTTCAAACTTCTCTATATGTTTAAGAGGTTTTCCACTTTTCATTTTTTGCAGGAGAAGTTTCCCCAGATATCATAAAAACTAAAAAGTCGGAACTTCGACTGTACTGTGATCTGTTGATGCAGCAGGTGCACTCGGTGAAGTCAGTGGCCCAGGGGGGCAACACAATGGACATAGATGTAAGATGGTCCAGAGATACAAAAGTTACATTGCAAATAAAGAATGGATGAGGGGAAAGGGATTAGAATTCTAAACAGGAGAGTCTGATTATGACAGTAGATTGAATATTGCTAAAGATAGGAGTTAAAACTGGAACAAAAGCCTATATAGTATACATGAACAGTAGTATTGATGTATAAATGTAATGAAAACGATGAATAGCACATACATGTGATAAGTCAAAGACCACAAAACTGTACAGGAGCCATAAAAAAACTGGAATTTGGGTGAAAAAACTGTACACTGCTTATCAAAAAACGGTACAAAAAAATGGTATAAAATATCGCTTAAATTCTTCTGAAATTCCATCGTAATCATTGTAATAAACATCGTATATTTTATACCTATGAAGATCTGGGTCAGATTCACGTATATTAAGACTAAAGTCATGTATATCAACTTTCGAAGTTGACTTAATTTTTTTCAATCAAGTTACGTATACGAAACATTAACAGTAATTAAGTACCCCTTAAAAAATAAAGCTACCTAAAGGGATATTTGATACGGATTTATAGCAAGATAATTATGGCAGTTCACACCTTCGCACGCCATGGTTTGTGTACACTACACAATTATCAGAAGGTCTAGTGTCAAACAGGTGACGTTTTTCAGTGTCTCGCGAGCGAGAATGAGAGGAAAATGGCGGCATTTAGCGAGAAATTCAAAATACTGTACAAATTTTCATATTCTGTGAATTTTGGTGTCCCGCCGGTACACTATGAATGGGCTCAAAAAACTGTACCTTTTGCGTACAGCCTGTACATATCACATGTATGATAGCACTTCTCATTAAGTCAAAACTTGTGTTTCCTTTTCAGAAGTTGAATGAAGCTACATCACTGCTAGGTGCCACTTGTGATACATTTATTTCTACTTTGGAGGACTGTATGAAGATTGCTAATGCCAGCATTGCATACGATTCTCCACACCAGCACATCAGTGATTCCCCATTCCCTTTGATAACATTAAAAACACCACAGAAAAAGGTACTTGCACAGATTTGCTTTTTTTCACCATTTCACTCAAATATGCACATTTTTTTCATTGTCACTCAATCATGTACATTTTTACTATCTCCATGGGTAATATAAGAAAGTACACTGTACCCTTATATATATATATATGATTTGTACACTTGCATATATGTATGTACTTTAGTATATGTTTTAGTAATCTGAAAACACACTCTATTTTTTCATTTTGTTTGTAACATGGTTGTATGCCAACATGTTTGGTGAATCAATAAATAAATTGAAATTGAATATATTAAAAAAAAAAGAACACCCAAATGTTTTTGTAGTGCTGGTATATTATTGATTTACATCAAACTTCTGTTTAGGAGTCCAGATCATATTCTGTGTCAGACAAGTATCCACCTGCAGTTTCCTCAAGGAGACGGACAATTTCAGACAGTACCCCAGACAAACTCAGCCCTCGATCCAGATCAGCCATATCTGTGTCACCTCAGTCACAAATAGAAAAATCTGAAGATGTAACTCCAATAAATACAGACACTCATACAAACACAGAACAAATATCCATAGCCACAGAACAAAACTTACAAACAGAAAATTTAGATAATGGTGATGAAGAGTTCAAAGATGCCATTGATGAAAGAATTCCAAACTTTTTCTCTGCAATGAAATCCAGGTGTGTATATAAATTTTTGCTCTGTGTTTCCTCCCTAAGCCAGGAATCTTTAAGCTTTTTTTGGTTATAACCTTTCCATTTTTAAAAATATGTCAGGAATTTAACTTAAATAGAAAGTTTGGTGAATATTTTCAGTTTTATGGATTTACAGTTAGAAGCAGATGGTGGAATTCCTATAGAGCATTTCCTGTCAGCCTGCAGGTGCTTGGTTCCTATTTTTGGTAAGTTTGTTTCTTTTAGGTACTGAAATAAAGATTATTTGTACATGAATAGTTAAATTTGTATGTATTAGAATATGGCAGCTGGTTGTTTCAATGTATACAGAAGTTCAATATCATTAAATACAGTATATATTGAATTTATAATACTAGACTCCTGGAGAAGTCATGTTAATGCTGTCATTGTTTATAATAGTTAATACTGTAATGGTTTGGTCTGTGGATATCGGCCTGGATAGCTCAGTCAGTAGATTGCCTGACTAGTGATGCAGGAGTCTGTGGTTCGATTCCCAGTCCAGCCATACATTTTCTCCTTTCTTGTTACAATACGATGTTTTATATAATCATTACTTATGTAAATGTAAAAGCTTTTACTAATGATCAACATACTTATTGTTGTATACTCTTAATGTATTTTGTAGACAAGTTAAACAGCACTGCCTTTGCACCAGTGAAAATGGATTTTCAGGGAAATATAAGAGTAAGGGTTTTTTTTATTTTTCAGAATGCATGTATTTTTCTCTGCTATTTAAATACTTCTTTTCCAATTTTTGAATGGTAGTTTAGAATCATGGATAAAACTTTGTAGAAACTGATTTTTTTCAGAAAATACAGCAAAAATATTCCACAAATCCCTCCTCATTCACAACACTGCAGAAAATGGTAATGTCGGAGGTGGATTGTAAACAGCATAGATTATCCAGCTCTGCTACAGTCGCTCTTCTGTGGATGAAAAGGTAATTTACACCTATTTATTTCTCCCAATTTAACTGACAAGTTATTCATCAGTGCCTCAGTGATTCTTGGATGCCCAATTCATATGTACATAAAAACAAGTATTCCTTTTAAAGGAATGATTGGCATGGGATATCAATAGTCACCATTATGAAATGTCTTTTGTAAGTTTGTAGACATTAAGACTGTTGTAAATATAATTTTTTTTTTACTTTCTATTGACTTAAATTAGTATTTGTCTATGAGTATGTATAAGTTTTTTAGTTGAATTTAACATTATTTCTTAACTGAATATAATGTTTAAAGAATAATTCTATTAAAGAGTTTCTATTAACGTACTAAATTTAATTGAAGAACAAGATTTAATCAGACAGTGGTTGTTATATAGAGTAGTATGAACACAATGTCGCCTTTTAAAGAAAACCTTTATTTTGCAACAAAGAAAATGTAATGTTGACATTTTTGTGAAATGGGATGAGGGATATGTAATATCTTTAAATAAATTAAATAGTTTTGTAGATTAATTAACTATTGTCACATGGTCAAGCTGGCTATCTCCAAAAATCACACAAATTCAACTAAGTTTTAACAAATTTATTTACAAAAAAAAAATATAATAATAAAGATTTCAAACAAACAACCACACTCTGATCCACACACTCTTCCACACTATTAAACAAAAATAAATAATAGCAATTGGTCACCAAAAATCAGACAATTAAACAATTAACCTATTAACCCCGGGTATAGATTTCACTCAAAGTATCAATGCCAAACATGTTCACAGATCAATGATTATCCTTGTCATCATCATCATCAACATCGTCTTCGTCAACATCATCATCCTCATCCTCGAAGCAGGAATGAAATCATATACTGTAAAAGTGGTTATTTACACTGGTTGTTAAGTACGCATTTGTGACCATCAAACATTAAGCGTTGTTATAATATACGCGGTCGCACGAATTACCGAGAAAAATTTACGCGGGCATCGTTACTAACATCGAGTTGTTCCCCTTTGAAAATGATAAGAAAAAAAAATAATTACAAACTAAACAAATCAATAAAAATTATACTGTTGGATTGGTAAATATAACGTCGATGTGCACAGTCAAATGCGCTGAAGTGTGAACAACTGAACAACTTTGTGTACGCTTTATTGTAATTATTTACGCAAGCTCAAACTTCAAAGTGGGATCTACTTACCTGTATCTGCGTGTCGAGTGTTGACAATTAATTTAATAGGTATGTTTGTAGTGACTGTGAGTTTATGTAATATTTTGGACTTATTATTTGAAATTAAGAGAGACATACACAAATATATAAAGGAAATGAAAATGAGTATCGATGTTTTGAAGCTTTAATTGCGTGACGTTGCTTTAAAATATTTAATATGAAGATGCATTTTTCATCGCACAATTAAAAAAATGAACAGTTACGTTTTCATCGCTGTTTGTGATGTATTTATCTACTCACGTGCGTTCAATACCACGATTAATATACGACTGGTTCAACCGGTCTAACAGTTTAAGTAATAATCTATAATTATTCCAGAAGTTTGAAATTTTGTGACCATATGCGCGGGGGTAATTTACGTGGTTCTAAGCTTACCGCGTAAGTAGTGTAAATTTCCCCCACGCTTAAATAACCACTTTTACAGTATCAGATTTGCCAATTCGTCAGTGTTCGTATAACGAGCTAATACAATGTTACTTGGATTGACATATCTGTATCTGTCCACCACCACTGAATCTTGACCCACACACAGCATCCTTCCGGGTCTTAGTCCTGGAACCTTTTGCTGTGTCTCGACGATCCCCTCAGCTTAGTGCATGTATTCAGCACATGTCATACCAGTGTCCTTGACACTACAATGACGAATATTTTTAAGTCACGTTTCACTAAATAATGTTTGGCAACACTACTATGTTTGGCGATTCATTCTCATAAATAAATAAATCAATACGTATAAATTATAATGGTTACCAGTTAACATAATTCAAAACAAATTATTGCCAACATGGCGCACCTTACTTTTGACTTCTGGTCATTCACTTCCGCCCAGACATTTAAACCAAAATTTAAATGGACAAAATATTTCACATAATGTAACAAATCTGAATACAAGAAAATCGCGTACAATAACACCTTTAAACTCTATCGATATAATACAAACCATTCGAACACTCTCACTAACCGTCACACCTGACTGAACAACAGGTAAAATGGTGAGAGCTGGCCAAGTTCAGAAATAAGAATGAATACGTATTCAGTAATAAATTTGCCTAAAAAAAACTATATACATAACGAATATTAATAATATTATAAGTAAATACTTACCACAGACCTGTCTCTGTGCCAAAGTCAAGATACTGATTGTATGGCAGCTATTTGCATGTACACTAACTGCTTCAATTGTAGAAACATGTCTGCAGCTATGCTTCTCTGCCAGGAATGACCAGGCCTCAATTGTTCTGGTCGGTCAAGCTGTTTTGCAAGGGCTTATGGGTAGATAGGGTATAGGGACAAAACGCGGGAAATACAAATAATATGTACAAGTGTAATAGTGATTGTTACAACTATCAATCTTCTTTTACAGAGAAATCAATGTTAAGAGGATTTAAAACCTTAATGCTCATGCTTGTATTCTATTCAGTTCTACACTTACTCAATTTTGTTTAAAAATTTTTTTTTAAACTCAATTAGTATATGTTCCGGAATATTCCTAGAAAAGTTAGGATTAAGAAAATTGTTTAGGACCCTATAGATGGCTGTACAATTGTTGAATAAATGTTTCCAGTTAGACATCAAACAAAAGCAATGTGCAAAAACAATCAACATTTTATATTTAGAGGTAACATCATCATAGATCATGTAGGCAATGCGATTATGATGTAGTTATGTAATGTGTCAAGTACATTTTTAAAAAAGCATCATTAGGATATAATAATTCAAAATAGTTAAATGTAGCTTGAATATTTTTGTTGCGTTTGAAACACCATTGAACAAATCAACTTTACTCTTAAGAGGGGTGTTCTTCCGAATGAAATTCTTACTCATATAAAGAAAATTTTAAACATAAGTTTATTCACCATGTTACTGTATAAATGTTTGCATTTCAAGGTAATTGCATCAAAATATGCTCTTTAGTACTTTTAAGTTAACATGTTATGGATTGATTGATAGATTAATTATATGTTGTTTTATGTCCCATTCAAGAATTTTTCACTCATATAAAGGTCACCATATACCGGTGAAGGGCTTCAAATTTTGACCTTTACGCAGTACTCAGGGCCATTGAGCAGTGAGGGATCTTCATCGTGCCAATGCCTGCCGTGACACGGGCCCTGTTTTTTAAGGTCTCATCCAAAGGACTCGCAACTTTCACTTCAAAGTGCTAAGTGCATGGTGAAGGAACAGTTGCTACCTATTTTTTATCGACTTAGGTCAGTCGTGGCCAAGATTCAAACTCACGACCTTCCGATCACAGAGCAAACATGTTAGGGAAGAATAAAATGAAGGTGTCAGTGCATATTAAGCAAGTTGTGCAGGGCGTCATATACATGTGTGCAATGGTTACATTTGCCGGATGCCTCAAATTGAATTGGCTGTGATCAGCTGCAGCCAATCACAAATATTTGGTCATGCCCATGATACCTCTCACGACTGTAAAAGCTGAAATTACTTTCTTATAGGGTTTACCTAAAATCCAGCAATTCATATTTATGTTGTTTTATAGTTTAAATAAACAGAAACTAACATGCATCATTAAGGGTTTAAATTTTAAAAACAGAGCCATTCAACTTGTATACTTTTTGTAAGCAATTGTAATTAGAACTTAAAATTATTTCATTTCTTAAAATGAAGAAAATTGAGCTTAAGGACATACGCAACATAGTTTGAACTTTATTGTCTTTTTCCCTGGAGTTGAAGAGTTCCAATACTTAAAGGAATTGGGTGCTACATTTGTATGTCTATATATGCTGTTGTACACTTCTTCTAAAACAATTTTGGATAAACAAAACATCTAGAATATGTGTTTAGTAATTTTTGTGTATTTTTCTTTGAATTATACAAGAATTTTCATCAATTGATATTTTTTCAAAACCCCTGGTAATGCATGCTGATTTTTTGTCGACGAACATCTGATGGCACTGTAATCTTAGATTAAGAATATCTTGAAAAATTATCAGTAGGTAAGGTACGTTGCGTATGTCCTTAATATTTGTAATGAAATTATAAATTTACAGAGGATTAGAGTTCATCAAGGAATTCCTACAAGAAATAGTGAACAATCAACAGGACATGTCACTGGCTGCAGGAAACGCTTACAGTAAATCACTGAGGCCTTACCATGGCTGGGTTGTCAGGGGCGTGTTTGCTGTAAATATAGTTTATCATAATAAGGCTGCCATTTTAATACATGTAGTAAAAAGATATATTTTTTATTCACAGTAAGAAATGCCAAGGACAAAAAATTTTGATTTGTTATAAACACAATTCTTTATAGCTGATAAGCCTATAATTAAGAAATAAATAACAAGTTTAAAAACTTCAATGGGAATTGAAGTGGGTCGGTCACGTGATCAAATCTTGTGAAGGTCGAAGGCCTTCTCAGAAGATTTGATCACGTACCGAACCACTTCAATTCCCATTGAAGTTTTTAAACTTGTTATTTATTACTTATATATACATTTGAGACAGACAATCGAATGTAATCGAATATAAATATAGCACTAACTGTGCGTCGTAGATTTTGACAAATTACGCTAGGTGTAAATCGGCTTGAAAAGCGGTTACGCTTCAAATTCATCTGGCAAAGGATCCTGTTTTGAAGGGAATATTCTGTGAAAGGCTACTTGTGATCAATTATAGTTAGCAACTGAGCATATTGGTGTCTGGGAATTTTTGTATTCATGAGAACCCATATTCGATGTTAAAAAACACAAGAAACACGTCGGATGTTGGATAATAAAAAGGAGTGCGGGACGGTTCGCCCCGAAAGACCATTCGCGCTGAGACGTTTCGCCCCCAGACGGTTCGCGCCTCAGATCAATTATCTTGACATGGAGAGTCTCCAAATGATAATTATAACACTTAATTACAATACTGAATCAGACAATTATGATTGCTGAATAAACATAATTATATCTGCACATGGATAATTATACCTTTAATTATGGTATAAGCCTATTTTCAACAATTTAAACAGTCATGAAAGTTTTTTTAGTAACTTTAGAACTTTTTTTTAATAGAGTCAATATTAACCTTATATGTAAACATTTATCTTAAAACATATCGTATTTGTATCGTTATAGATTAAATTCGGTGCGAAACGTCTCGGCGCGAACCGTCAATAGGGGCGAAACGTCCCGTTACCATAAAAAGTTGGAGGAATTTCGGTCGGAAAGGGATGGATGGAGACACTTGTCCGGACCAGATAACTTGAAATCAAGTACAAAATTTGATCAAAAACATAAAATCTACGATTTCAGTAAGGCATATTTGTTAATTTATGATGTTGGGAGACACTGGCGACAGCTTACATTGTTAAGACAACGTCACAAAGATCTTGATGATGGAGGTGTGCCTACCGAACTTCCAAAGTGCAGTGTTTGTCAGCTGTTTGTGGCGTGATTGCATTACATTGATATTTTTCAACAGATTTTCAAATTTATTGTGAGTAAAGTTTAATGAAAAAAAATTTATAGCATTCAGAGGTCTGCGAGAAAAATAAGGGTAAACGTTGAGACAATGCAGCTAGACATGAAACTTATAACACGTAGTTTTCCATTCTCTATGTAAAATCGATCAAGAACTGTATTAAATACTCGTTTACATTGTAAATAAAATGATTATTATTTTACTTGCGTATTTTGTACATTTTTATGCATGAAAAACATGCTATATTGCTTAATATATACATTTGTGGTATCTCTCTATTATATAAACATGCAGAGAGCAAATATCTTCATACCTGTATGAAGTTTTTCGAAGGTCATAGGTCATTACGTGACCTAATCACACAGCACAGTAATATCTACATAAAAAGACTTACTCCACTAAGCAATATAGCATGTTTTTCATGCATAAAAATGTACAAAATACGCAAGTAAATTATAATAATCATTTTATTCACAATGTAAACGAGTATTTAATACAGTTTTTAATCGGTTTTACATAGAGAATAGAAAACTACATGTTACAAGTTCCATGTCTGAGCTGCATAGTCTCAACGTTTACCCTTATTTTTCTCGCAGACCTCTGAATGCTATAAATTTTTTTCATTAAACTTTACTCACAATAAATTTGAAAATCTGTTGAAAAATATCAATGTAATGCAATCACGCCACAAACAGCTGACAAACACTGCACTTTGGAAGTTCGGTAGGCACACCTCCATCATCGAGATCGTTGTGACGTTGTCTTAACAATGTAAGGCTAAAGCTGTCACCAGTGTCTCCATGTCAACATAATAAATTAATAAATATGCCTTACTGAAATCGTAGATTTTGTTTTTGATCAAATTTTGTACTTGATTTCAAGTTATCTGGTCCGGACAAGTGTCTCCATGATTCCATCCATCCCTTTCCGACCGAAATTCCTCCAACTTTTTATTATCAAACATCGGACGTGTTTCTTGTGTTTTTTAACATCGAATATGGGTTCTCATGAATACAAAAATTCCCAGACACCAATATGCTCACTATAATTGATCTCAAGTAGCCTTTCACAGAATATTCCCTTCAAAACAGAATCCTTTGCCAGATGAATTTGAAGCGTAACCGCTTTTCAAGCCGATTTACACCTAGCGTAATTTGTCAAAATCTACGACGTACAGTTAGTGCAATATTTATATTCGATTATATTCTATTGTCCGTCTCAAATGTATATATAAGTAATAAATAACAAGTTTAAAAACTTCAATGGGAATTGAAGTGGGTCGGTACGTGATCAAATCTTCTGAGAAGGCCTTCGGCCTTCACAGGATTTGATCACGTGACCGACCCACTTCAATTCCCATTGAAGTTTTTAAACTTGTTATTTATTTCTTAAGTGGAGTAAGTCTTTTTATGTAGATATTACTGCGCTGTGTGATTAGGTCACGTAATGACCTATGACCTTCGAAAAACTTCATACAGGTATGAAGATATTTGCTCTCTGCATGTTTATATAATAGAGAGATACCACAAATGTATATATTACATTATAAAACTACATGGTACGAAATTCACTGATGTAAGTGTGAATTCATTATAGGTGTATTTACTGTAACCAAGTTTTGCACTTTACTAAAAAAAAATAGCAGTTGAACTAGACTTAAATGTCCAAATATTTGACAGGTTGCAGTGAAAGCCTTACCCAGTCGTGATGTGTTCATCTCTCTACTAGCAGTCCCTGGAGAGGAAAATGAGGGGACAGACTTTATACATTCCTTGATGGTAGACATGGAGAATTACATCACTGCTGTTGGAGAAATCCTGCGCATTTTAAATGATTTCTATAAGGTGCATACCCTGGACAATGAGGAGCCAGTGTAATCCTGGGCTGCTGTTTTCCTGGACATTGAGGAGCCAGTATAAGCCCAGGCTGCTGTTTTCCTTTACAATGAGGAACAAGTGTAAGCCCGGGCTGCTGTTTTCCTGGACAATGAGGAGCCAGTGTAAGCCCGGGCTGCTGTTTCCCTGGACAATGAGGAGCCAGTGTAAGCCCGGGCTGCTGTTTCCCTGGACAATGAGGAGCCAGTGGGAGCCCAGGCTGCTCCTTTTTTTCTACTTATCATTTTTTACATTTCAAGTATATGACATGTAAATTAATGATTGTAAACTAATCAGACAAAGTAACTTATTATTTCAATCAAGATTTTCTTTTTAAATTAAAAAAAATATATTTGTTCAGGGCACAATGAACAGTTTATTGCAAACTCTTAATTTTGTTGATTCCATGAATCAGTACAAGAAGCCTAACAAATGCATATTGTATGTAGTCTTGTTTATTGCTGCCATTTTTATTTTGTCATTTAAATAATTAGTCTATGAAAAGAGAAATCTCCCTGGGGAACATGAAAATATGATAGAAGTAAAAGCAGCATATTTATTAAAAACTTGTGCCATTAGCCAGCTAAACAGCTAAGTATATAGTCCTGGAGACACTTAGCCTGTTGATTTTACTCTGTGGATGTTCAAAATGTATATTTCAGATTCAGGAATATAGTTCAAATCCTTATACTGTTTTGTCAAATTATCATGTGAATGAAATGTAAACTTAATATTCATATTGTATAACTTATTATAGAGGGAAATTATTTTATTTTTAAGTACAAGAAAGTTGGTTTAATGTGTACATACTGTCTGGCCCTGTGAGGGAGAACAATTCCTATGTATTGATTCTGTGTTAAGTTTATATAGAATTTCATTGCTGTTAAGATGTATAGATTTAGTTTAATTTATTTTGAATGATAATTGATTTGTATTTTTGGTACTGTATGCTAAACAGTGCAATATTGGTTATACAATTAAAGGTACAATATAAATTCATCTTGTATGTGTTTTTATTGCTTATGCATACTAGCATCAAGGATATTTTGCATTTGCGACATAGTCCCTCAAGCATGAAGACCGTTCACGGTAGCTCAGTCGGTAGAGCGCTCGCTCTGTGATTGGGAGGTCGTGAGTTCGAATCTCGGCCGCGACAGACCTAAGTCGATAAAAAATGGGTAGCAACAGTTCCTTCGCCATGTGTTCGGCACTTTGAAGTGAAAGTTGCGGGTCCTTTGGATGAGACCTTAAAAACCAAGGCCCCGTGTCACGGCAGGCGTTGGCACGATAAAGATCCCTCACTGCTCAATGGCCCTGAGTGCTGAGTAAAATTTGAAGCCCTTCACAGGTATATGGTGACGTCTCTATATGAGTGAAAAATTCTCGAATGGGACGTAAAACAGCATACAATCAATCAAGCATGAAGATGAAACACACACAGACTCACACCACATACAACAACCCTATATATATATATATATATATATATATATATATATATATATATATATATATATATATATATATATATATATATATATTCAACTCAAAATCTTCCTAACTAAAAATGCTTTTGTAAACTAATTAGATACACATCTAAAAAAATTTTTGCTACTAAACAACATCATCAGAATGCCAGGGGTCAGTATGGGGGTCCCATGGCAAGGTATTGACTCAGGACCCATGGCATTGCGAGGATGGCATTTATGGTTTGGGTTCAATTCCCAAGAAATCCTTTTTAGCTCACCTCAACGAAGTTGGGGTATCTTATGTAATACTGTCGGCATCCCAGGTTCAAGTTTTTGGAGCAGTTTTCTTTTCAAGTACTTCTATGCCCTATATTTATCAGAGATGCATGGAAGATGCTTCTAGTATGCTTCATTGTACCAGTCAAGGTTTAAGATGCTGCAATTTCAGCTAAAGAAATTGACCAGGTTAAAGTTTTTGGAGCATGTCTCATTTCTAAGTAACTTTAAGCTCTATATTGACCAAACTTGCATGGATGACGCATCTAAAGATACACACTACAGATCTTGCTTCAGATGCTGGATCTGACCTACATTTTCAGGATGAGTGACAAGGTTAATGTTTTTGAAGCAGGTCCATTCTTAAGTAACTATTCGCCCTACGTGCACCAAACTTGCGTGAGTGATACATCTAAGTGTGCACACTACTGGATTTGCTTCGGATGCTGGATCTGGCCTACATTTTCCAGATGAGTGACACGTTTAATGTTTTTGGAGTAGGTACATTCTAAAGTAACTATTCACGCTACCTGGACTTAACTTGCTTGGATGATACATCTAACGATGCACACTACCAGGCTTGCTTCGGATGCTGAATTTGACCTACATTTTCGAGACGAGCGATCAGATTAAACTTTTTGGAGCAGTTTCTTTCTAAAGTGATTATATGCCCTCTGCTAACCAACTTTGCACTGAAGATACATTTATTGATGCACACTACCGGGATTGCCATTAATGCAGGATTTGACCTACATTTTCCAGATGAGTGAACAGGTTAAAGTTTTTGGAAAACTATAAGGTCTATCTGAATCAAACTTTCATGAGGTGCACACTACTAGATTTTTAGTTTAGTTACTTTGCCTTACTTAAAGAAAACATTCGTTGAGGTGAGCTCTGTAATCTCCGATTACCTATATATGTTTTATTTTATTTAACCTTACAATTAATTTTGTCGAGATAGATTTTCCGGGACTGAAAAGTTCATCCCTTTCAATACATAGAACTTTGCTTTAAATACTTAGTTCATAAAATTTTGAATTTGATTTAAATTATACAGTTGAAGCTATAGGCAATTTACACGCCTTTTTCGTATCTTTGTACATTCATCGTTATGTTCATGACGCAAGTTCAATTTCAAGGGTGGGGCAGATATAAAGTTGATAAAAGCTTCAGAAATCTTTACAAATATATTACTGTGTAATTCAATAAATCTGACTCGTTTGCTGGATGAAATATATGGAGATAACGAGCAGTATTCAAGCTCAAAAGTCCATGAAACAATACAAAATAGGAGCAGAGCAAACACGTACCTCCAAAACATCAGAGGTGGGAACAGGTGCCATGGAGGAGTGAGCATTCTTTGCCGACCGGTCACACCCGCTGTGCTCCCTATCACTATCGGGAAATAACGGAAAAATCCGTCGACAATTCAGTGTGTAAATAACATGCAAAATTATACTTTACGATAATGACTTGAGTTACTAAAAATTAATAACTGAATGAAAATCCAGATATGGTCATTAAAACTTACAAAATCTAATAATGAATGCGTTTGTTTCTTATTTTTCCAAAGAAAATAATATAACAAATGATGCCCTTTGTTTCGGTCGATCTATAGAAATATCGACCTCACAGAAAAGCATAACGACTTCGCACTTCATGCTAGGTCGATATGTTTTTCTGTGAAGTCGATATATCTATGGATCGATCTCATAAATGGGCTATATTTGTATCATATCTAAACTGCAGATTCTTGCATTCTTAAAATCAGCAATTAACCACATGCTAAAATTATGAAATCATGTGTCCCTGGGTACGGGGTCAGGGCAAGTTCGTTTTGTACAAAAGCGAGTGTGTGTCTTTAAAAAGATCTTTAATCATAAACGTAATATATTTACACCACTAATGATTTTTCTCCTTTATTTCTTATGAAAACCACAGCAAACGCCAGTTAGAAAGATTTTCAAGCCACCTGTATAGATTTCCTATGCACTGAGTGTGCTTTTTATTTTATCAATGAAACGTACAAGACGCAAATTATAAAATATTTTTCTGCAAACAGCTGTACCATTAATTTCATACAAACAAAGAAAGCATTTTATTATTTATATTTATGTCTATACGAATACATAATTATATAAAGTAAGTTTAAGTACGTTTAATACTACGAGGGCCGTTCAAAAATTACGCGGACTCTGCTATTATTTACTCTTATAGACGTCATATAGAATTGAAATTTCACAGGAACATATTTCTTAAAGATTCCAATAAATCCTTGGTTAAATATTTTGATTTTATTTAATAACTCTTAAAATTATTGCTGTTTTGATGATGGTGATGTACGGAGCACGACAACAATGTTGAAATACAAAAATGCGGTATCCAATATTTTATTCATTTATTTTCCATATTTCACGATATTATTCAACAATTTTCTCTAAAATTTCTTTTTAATGTTGTATTATTAAGCATTTAGATTTCTGACGTAATATTTGAAGTACTAACAGAAATATTGCAATTTTTCTCCGATGTGCCCCTACGAAATCAATTTCAAAAATGACGTCTCGTAATTTGACGGAGCAGCGCACTTTTATCAAATCATGAATCGTGCTGGGAAAACGCCAACGGAGACCCAAAATAAGCTTGATGAAACATATAGTAAACCAGCGGAATTTCCGACACATCTCTACAAAATATAGAAAAGAATTTTAGACTGTTAGATCTTAGTCAAAAGACAGTCTGGGAGGGATGGAAGAAGTTCATCGACAAAACACTGATCTGGACTGTTAAGAATGTGATTGAGATCGACTGACGTCAAACTTTACTTCAGAAATATCTGCAGTTTTGTGGTTTAACACAAACTAGAACACACAATGCTAGTTTTATAGTTTTTAAGCTAGATCAGAAATGGTATGTGGATGTTTATTTTGAGTGGTTAAGGTAACCCAAACAAAACAGTATCATATACTAAGGGAAAATATTGAGAAAATGAAAACTCCCAATTTTTAAAATGCCCGTGACGTTGAAGGTTTTACTGCGCCGTGACTTCATGATATGTCCCGTTAAATCACCCGAAATTTATACTAATTTACAATATTTTTATATGAAATTTTGATGACCATATATAAAAAGATTCTTTTATATTATTTGTGACTTTTTGCTTGATTATGTCGTCAAATATATTTTCTGTGCAACAAGTCCGCGTAATTTTTGAACGGCCCTCGTATTTTATTGATATGTACATCATTGTATACTAGTATGTTTCATTATTCGATAGACATACTGCATAAGAAGTATTGTTTTTACACAGGCATAAAGAATCTGTTCTGTACCGAAATAGTAAAATTCAATCAGTTGTGGTCTCGTGGGAAAGAATATTTCTTGTGTGCTGAGAAACTTCTAATACTCGTGTGACGACCCACAGGCACTTGTTTCTGTAATAAATTTTTGACCCATAGTATAATAATAACACATGTACAAGGTATCCAACTACTTAGAGAGCCCCCCTCCCCCAGAATCGCACTCATTTACACTTTCAGAGGAAATGCACTGGCAAACTGTTTATACCCATGTCTACTACGATAATTTATCTACACAACCATATATGGCATGCTTGTCTTTATTTTCTTTTATCTCCGTGAACAGCGTCAAACTCTGCTTGCCGAGGTGAAAAGTCGAATTCAACCATGAAATGGTATGTGCTAATCCCGGGCAGAGAGCAAAATTAAAAAATGAGTGGGTTTAAAAATCCATACCAGTGTTTAAATATTGCAGTGAATAAATAAAATTTGTTTACCTCTCATTTTCCATAAAAAACACTGCGATATTTTTCCGATGTAATTTTAGAAACAGATTTTTAAGATCTCTGCCCGGGATTAGTACATACCATTCCATGGTTGAGTTCGACTTGTGTACTCGGCGAGCAGCGTTTTGACGCTGTTTATGGAGATACATGTAAAAGAAAATAAAGACAAGCATGCCATATATGGTTGTGTAGATAAATTATCGTAGAAGACAGTTTGCCAGTGCATTTCCTCTGAAAGTGTAAATGAGTGCGATTCTTGGGAAGGGGGTACTCCATGTAATTCGGAGTTGGACACCTTGTGTTATTATTATACTATGGGTCAAAAATTTATTACGGAATCAAGTGCCTGTGGATGGAACCCAGAGAAGGGTCTTGTCACAAGAAATACACGTGTGAAATATGAAGACCATAACTCCAACCAATCAAAAGTTATAGGCAAGGTTAAAGGT